AGGAGCGTGATCTTTCCGAATTATTTTATCGCCGGCAGCCGAGAAATCCTGTTGTTCAATTTCTCGTGCCGTCGCCTAATTCCTCGATAACGGGGCGGGCATTGTGCGCTCGGCCGCGGAATAACAATGGCCGTTCCCCTCGAAATTCTGGCGGAGCCACGTTTAGCGGTTCAATTACTTCAAAACTCGATCCCGGTTACACTCTCCGCCCGCCGAAAAATTGTCCCCCCGAGGAACGGAGAGCTGCCCGCGCCGAGGAAATTCTTGAACGACGGATCCGAGACCTTACGATATCTCGATCGCGATAGTTCTCCGGGAACTACCGCGGCGCAGCTGAAAATTAAGTTTGGCGAACGCGTGGCGAAAGCACTTGATAACGCCTCCTTGCGGCGGCGAGATATTTCGAGAATTATGGAAAGTAACCGCGAGCAGCATTGTGACCTGATTTTCGAACATTTAGAAACGCTCGCGTCACCCGAGCTCATTCGAAGACGATTTGAACCGGATCTCAATTTATATCAGACTGTGATACTCGTGGCTAATATTAATGTTAAGGGGGGGGGGGGGTAGATTCTGAATCGATATTTTTTAATCGATTCTTGGATGTTCGATTTTGAAACGGATTGATATTTTTTAATTACGAAACGATCTTCGATTGCATGTCGCCATAATGTCACTAACTATTGCCATTTACAACATTTCGTCTTCTTAAATTCATTGTGTTTAAATGATTGGTTAATAAATGAACATCAAGTTTTTCAATAAAAAAGTAACTCAATATTAAGTATACGATATTTATAACACTATCGAAATACCAATTAGAGTATCTTATGGTGATACAGTGCATATAAACTTTTAAATTAGATTCATGTATTCGTTTATTTATTTAGGACTTGAAGAAATGACGAATTAAGAATAATTGATGGGTACAGTGATCCTGTGAATCGGTTTTAAATCGGTTTTAAAGTGCTTTAATTCTGATTTCTTCAAAATCGATTTTCAGAGAATCGAGGAAAGAAATTATAGTTATTTTTTTTATTTCAAACATGACGAGATAAATAATGTTCGAAATAATGTGCAAGACGATGATTTCATTTAAGAAACCTTTACAGCAATTTGCTTCGAACGAAACTCTCTCTTCATAAAGATATAGTCGTAATTCTGAAAATGAAAAACGAACCGACTTTATTTTGAGGAATCTCTATAAAAATTTTATTAGCGGATATCATTTAACATAATCAGAGTTCTTTTGTCACGAGGAAATGTCAATGAAGATTTTAGTGTAAATCAGAGTCAGAGTTGACAAT